CAGCGTGAGGACAGGGGACACCGTGGGGATACGGGGACACCTGTGACTTGGTGTGGAGCAGGAAGCCGCACGGAGGACATGGGAACACCGGGAGGACAGGGGACACCGTGAGGACAGGGGACACCGTGAGGACACGGGGACACCTGGGACTTGGTGTGGAGGTGCCAGAGACAGTGCGGCAACGCGGCACCTGTGGGACACGGGGACATCGCGAGGACAGGGGACACTGTGAGGACATGGGGACACCCGGAACTTGCTGTAGATCAGGAAGCCGCGCAGGGACATGGGGACACTGTGAGGACAGGGGACACCGCGAGGACATGGGGACACCTGGGACTCGGTGTGGAGCAGGAAGCCGCATGGAGGACATGGGGACACTGTGAGGACAGGGCGCGGGGGCGAGGGGCCCCTGGGGACACCCGGGGCCCCTTGGGGACACTCGGGGCCGCACCGGCGGCGCGCACGGCCACGGCGCAGGCCACGAGCGAGTAGCTGGTGTTGAGCAGCACCACGTGGTCCTTCTTGAGCTGGAACGCAGGCTGGAACGTCGGGAACGGGTAGACGACCTGGTACTTGGTGTGGAGCAGGAAGCCGTGCCGGAGACAGTGCGGCCGCGCGGCGCCTGCGGGGACAGGGGACAGCGTGAGGATATGGGGACACCATGGAGACATGGGGACACCATGGAGACATGGGGACACCATGGAGACATGGGGACACCGTGAGGATACGGGGACACCGGGTACTTGGTGGGGAGCAGGAAGCCGTGCCGGAGACAGTGCGGCCGCGCGGCGCCTGGGGACAAGGGACACCGTGGGGACACGGGGACACCTGGGACTTGGTGTGGAGCAGGAAGCTGCACGGAGGACATGGGAACACCGGGAGGACAGGGGACACCACAAGGACACAGGACACCGTGAGGACAGGGGACACCGTGAGGACACGGGGACACCTGGGACTCGGTGTGGACCAGAAAGCTGCACAGGGACATGGGGACACTGTGAGGACAGGGGACACCGTGAGGACACGGGGACACCATGAGGGCACAGGGACACCTGGGACTCGGTGTGGATCAGGAAGCCACACAGGGACATGGGGACACTGTGAGGACAGGGGACAGGGACCCCTGCCACGTCCTGCATAGAGAGCGCACGCGGAGGGGACACGCAGAGAGAACACGCGGAGCACACGTGTGTGGACGGTGCCCACGCGGAGCACACGCGTGTGCAACTGGCACCTATAAAGCACCCACGCGGTGCCCACACGTGTGCCCGTCGCCCACATGAAATGCCCACGCGTGCATCCCTCGCCCACATGAAATGCCCACGCGTGCAACCGGAGCGCCCATGCGGTGCCCACGCGTGCACCCATCG